AGTGGAGCTGATTAGAAAGCCCCGTTTGAGAGCCATCTGGTTGGCATATAAAATTACTGCCAATGAGCAAGGTAGTCAGCTGGCCACATAACCAGGAGGCAGGAGACTTGGAGTCCAGCTCTTGGCCTAACCGACCTAAAAAGCAAGCTAGGTTGGATTTTTTAGAATCACAAACTGTTCAGAGCTGGAAGGGATCTTAGGGGCAAAATGTAAGATGCTAACAGAGAGAGTTAATCACTAAAATGGTACATTTGAAACATTAAGCACGGGTGAAGAAAAATCTCTTACTCAGAAGTTAGGCTTTTAAAAATCGGTTTTTAATATATGTTGGGGAAGGAACTCATAATACCAACTTAGTTTATCTGTTCAGGACAAAAATGTTATATGTGAATGGAAACCAGGCCAGTCTTGATTGTTACACTGATTTTTCTTTAATTGATAATTTAGATTAGAACAGTCTAACAACCTGATAAAATTTACTCACAAATTCTGAGTATGTTAGGTATAAAGGGAACAAGATATACATTTTAATACAGCAAATGGGCAAACTCACTTATTAAATGTGTGATCTTGGGCAAATGACCAGATCCCTCTCAGTCTCAGCTTCCTCACCTGTAACAGGAAAGATACCTGGTGGAATGTAAGCTTTTCCATTTTGCTCAGATGGGAATGTAAGCTTTTCCACTTCTTTTGCCTCATAAAACATTTCCAAATTACAACAAATCTCTGATCCAAGTTATTAATCTGCTTTCTACTCTTAACTTTTCAACGTGGTCTAATGGATTCCTCCTCTTTTATCTTTTCCACCTGCTGGTCCAGCCTATCTCCAGTTGGTGGCATCCTAGGTACCCACAATGCCCAGGGCCTGGGAGGTTAAGGCTGGTTCATGTGAACCGAGTTCGTCCTAGCTAACTTGGGGAGTGGGGATCCCCTCTACCAGGGCTTCTGCCCAAGAAGAAGATTCCTACATCAGGGCAGAATGTGGATGGAGGAGGTTTTATCCTCTGAGGATCGGTGATTTGGCATTGGTCAGACTTAGGTTTGAATCCTAACTCTGCTGTATACTATGTGATGAGAAATACCAATTAGTTCCTCACCCAACGTTGATGATAACTAATGCTCGCCTTGAAGGATTATTGGGTTAGAATTAAATAATATAACATAGCCAAAATATTGAGTATGTAGTAGGGTCTCAATAAATGGTAACTATTATAGCCTTAGCTCTGATCAAGGTAGAAAGCAGAAGTTCCTGCCTAGCTCTCTAGGCAAGATGTAGATGTTCAAAATAGCATTGGACTTTCCAAAAATTTAGGTTAAAATATCATCCAAAGCCATTTTTAGTCATTGATAAATTAAGTCACCACGTTGTTTCCAGGGCTAAATACTTTCATTATAGACAGATGTAATAACCATGTAAAATTTTCCAAACATCTCAATTCTAAGAATTTAAACAAAAATGTTATATTTGCCAAACATTTCATTTGTAAAAATTTAGATTAAAATGGCCTAACCTGATAACAAATTTACCCACAACTGTTGAATGTCCATATTAGGTGTAAATGGAAACCAGCTGTAATTTTTAATGCAGTGAATGGAGTAAAGAAATGTGCAAACCAGTCCAAATGTTTATAAACCAAGGATTCCTCTGGGACTCAGTGCCCTGACTTTACTCTTTTTTTTAAACATACACAGTCAAGCTTTGTTCATACTTGAATTATGTACCTTGCATAAGCCGTGCAATTTAACTTTAACCCACAGGACTGAAAATAAAATGAGCTCAGACTGCAGAGCAACAAGACTGTGAGCAAGGAAGAGTGTTAATCAAAGTGAAAGACACACCCCTCATTGCTGCCTCTGTCCTTCTCTAGCCTGCTCCTGTCAGATTATTTAGGGTTCCTTATACTTCTCAAAGTGGCAGAAACAGGTTACAATTTTTATCATGAAAAAGGGATTTGTCTTTTAAATTAATGTTTGTGTATCTGCCCTGAGGAGGTTGATGAGTAGCATGTAATTTTTTAAAAATTATAAGTGAATGCATACCCTTGCCACTTGTAATCATGACAAAGCCTAAGTAATTCAGGCATGAGCATGGTTTTTTGTTTTTGTTTTTTTTTTTAAGTGCAAAACAGGATTTACTAGTCGAGAATGTCTGCCTAAACAAGCTCATCTATCTGAATGCTTTCAACTGCCGTTCAAATTTAACACAAGCAGGTTTGGTAAACGGGCCAGATTTGCTCATTGAGCATTTTTAGAACATCACAAAATAAACCAATACATGGCTTTTAGGCTCATTTTGACAGAGGGTGGACAGAGAACCCACTGGGAGGTTTGGAAACCGCTTACCTTGGCATCAGGTTTAAGAATATCAATAGGAGACCTGACCACATTCACCACCCTGTCCCTGTGAGGACATAACACTATTCACTCATCTCATGAGTGTCTGATATGGATTACTGTCCTTGTCACTGTCATTTATTATCCCAGGCAGAGGAGGTAGCGACTCAGTTCTATGTGGTCAGTGTTGATTCCACATCGTGTATATTTAGCCTACATGATAATAATTTGTGAGGATCTTCACATGATTGTCAGATGTTGTTAGTGGGGAATATCTGAACAGACACTAATAGCCTCAAATGCCTAGGTGTTCACTTCAACCTCCTCTGACCCCACCCTAAGGACCCTCCTCTATAGATGACCGTGTATTAAATTGGTACCTTGTAACTCAACCTGATAGTCTCTGTAATTTTTGACCCATTGATAAAAAGGAGGAATTAGCCTAAGGACACTCCATTCTAATTTTCTGTCGCCGTGAGTGCTAACCAGAGCTCACAGAGCAATGTTGTGGGGGTGGGGAAGATGGTTCCACCATTGGTGTTAGACCAGGAGCTACTGTTTCCGTTAGAGCCACGTTTATTTCTGAAGTAGTTGTGGGGGAGAGATGTGCTCCAAAGAGAAGAGGATTTGGTGTGGTTCAGGTATGACTGACCATCTGGACAACCCAACCCAGAGACTAAGTATATGGGATAGTGGTGGGCTGGTGCTTTCCACACGTTGAGCTGAAAATCACTTGGATTTTGGGGAAGGAGAGAGAATGAAAGCTAGAAACAAAAGATCTGGTTATGAAACCTAGTACCTAAGTTAAGATGTTCGAATACATTTTCTCCTTTAAAAAAATTCTGGGGAAATTGAATATTTTTGCTAACCTGACTATTTTTAGCCAGTCTTTATAGAAGATGGAGGCGCTGGGAAATTAGCAGCCCCAGAAAATATTAATTCATTTTTGCACGTGTTAAAATTAATTAACATTCGTATATTCAGGGATACAAGGCAATTAAAGACTTTGGAGAGATAAGAAAAATGTAAATATATATTCAAAATCAGGCTCATAGCATTTTATAAAAATGTTGGCTTACATCCAGGATCTGAGGGTGGGGGTGGGTATGGTTTTTTTGTAGCTGAAGAAAGTGGAAAAGAATCTGCTCGATTTCCTTAAAAATAAAAGACTTCTTGTTTTATACAGCATGGTAAATGAAATGCTTTTCTGTTTTTTACCTGCCGGCAGTTTCTGGAGGAAATTTTTCTAGCAAGCTATGCTGTTTTCCTCTCTTCGGGGACATGGTGACACTGGTTTCATAGCAAAACAGTATTTGCTTATTAGGCATTTCTTCAAAATCCTGAATAAGCAGCTCTTTCCACATTTTTTGTTCCACATGTTAAACATTTCATTGCAATTTGAGCTTCAATTGTGTGTGTGTGTGTATGTGTGCGTGTGTGTGTGTGTATTGATAGGAAGGATTGAAAGGGGATGCATAAGAATTCTTGAAGGTTTTTTGTTTAAAAAAATTAATTCCTACAATTATGTATTGGACTCTCTACAGAAGGCAATTCCAATTTATTACACAGAGCCAAACTAGATCTCATCAATCTTAAGCAGCGGGGGTAGGGAGGTGGTATTGAAGAAGACATGAAATTTGGTGTTTGAGTAGATGAGATTTAATTTTCGGAAAACATTTCACTCATAAAACGGATGGCACCCCAGTGTCAGCCCTGACCTCCATGATGTCAATGTCATCGTGCAAGCATAGCTGAGATAAGCCTCCAAGTACAACAAAGAAACATTGCATTTCAGCACAACACCATTTCTTCTCTTACAGTGTGTAATATGTATATACATACAGCCTTTTGATATTCCTGTTAATGCCTTGTTACTTTACAACATAGCTTTTGGAGAGGGAGGGAGGAGAAAAATCATTTTGCCTGTTCTATGTTCTGAGCAAGCGCGGTAAGTATGCTGCTGCAAGTCTTAACATTATTTAGGTCAGTATCCTAAGAATAGCTTTTATCGTTCAAGATGGTCAGCTATACATCCAAAGGAATTCAGCATCAATTTATTTTTCTGTACTGATTTTATTTGCTTCTAAGTTTAAGCAAATTCATTCACATTTTAATACAATTGCAACTGAGAAGGCATCTGCCATTCTGTACTGCAGATACATTTAGCAGGATACATTTACATGGCTTGTGGTTAGAGGTGATAGCACAGGATAGAGACAGCCCGATCATGCATTCTTCTACAAGCCTGCCGGCATCATTTAGGATCTGATGCTGAAAAATAATCTAGAAAAGCTATCCCCTATGTAATATTATTTTTTACTTTACAATAGCATAACAGTTCGTTTTTTGTTTTTTTGTTGTTGTTAGCAATTCTATGAAATTAATAGTCTACAAAACGCATCCCAAACCAGATACATACTGTATTGAAAGCTTTCTTCAAGAAGATATGACAGTATTCATTCCAGCTTATTTTCTTCATTAGCAAAAGGATTGTTTGATTCTCAGAAGCAAAAGGACACATTCATTGTGCAGCAGCTCTGCTTAAGTGTATGAAATGCCTTCTACTGTCTGGTTGCAGAATTTGGAGTTTGCTAAACAGTGTTTAGTGATTGGGCTCATCTTGCATCACCAGTTGATGACATTTTTCTTTGTTCCCTCCTACCCAGTTGAACCAAGACTCTGAGGCTGATATGCAATGTCACTTACAACATTAATCAGATACTGCATTTAAGGTGAGCTGTCCCTTGCCTCCTCCTTCCCCAGTGCTCGTGTGCTGCATGCAGTGCGTATCTTGCTTCTGCGAGCCTAAGATGGCAGGCAGGATTAGCCGTGCTTTTGCTGTGTGTGCATGCTGTGTATAGAATTCATTACACGTTGCCTAGTATTTCAGATGTGAGTATGTAAATGCTCGGTATGCCATATCATCTGGTAGCGAAGACTTGTTTTTGCCTCATTACAGCCTTAGATATTTCAACATCACCTTTCAGTTCCGATTCATTTGCCTCTGGATGTTTGCTTTTCATCACGTTCAAAATAGGATTTTACCTTTTTTTTTTTTAACAAAGCCAAAAAAAAAAAAAACCTAAAAACAACAACAACAACAAAACTCTGCTACCAGATGGTGTCTCTCCTTTCTTCTTGCATTTGCTGTCTTTTAAATAATGTATGTTGTATTGTTAATTAATGTGAATATCAAATTAAACACTTGAAACTTACATATTTATTATGCAGGTAGGAGGCAAGGTGGAATCTATTTTTAACTCCTATGCACTCCATGCTGTGCAAACAACTTGGTTCTCAAATTTGTATTTTCAGTGCTGGTATCAGTGGTTTGATTTTCAGCAAATGTGACAGTGGCCTTTGCAGTGGTCAGCTCCGGGCTTTGAACTCTCAGAGGAGGAAGGGAAAAAAAATTCAACACACCACCTCCTTGGTTGCAGCTTCAGAGAAACCTTGGATGAGAAACTTCTTTTTTTCAATCCTGTTTTCCTGTTGATAAATTCAGTTCTCGTGATCACAGTACATTCAAGCTGTTCTGCGTATGATTTTGTGTGTGTGTGACAATTGCATCTAAAACTTGTGAGCAAGAAGACGGAGAAATCAGTTGGTCTCCATCGCTTTACATAAAAATGGCTGAGTGTCTTGTCATGCTAGCACTGCATTAAGTGATACATACAGGTAGGTTGAAATTTGCATGTTTTATAGATATTTTTGAGCCATGCAGCAAGAATTTTAGATGGATTAAAATATGACTTTTGGAACAAACATTAAATAAGACAGCTGTAATTTTTTGGAGGGAGGGCATTAAATTGGATAGGCTTTCCTATTCAGATACTATATAAATATATAGCTTATATAAACTCACAAAATGATTCTGCTATAATAGTGAGATGATTCCTTTTTAAAAAATCATATATATGATAGGTGTGGCGCCATTAGACAACAAAAGAATTTTTTGAAAAGTCTGTTGATTCAGCTCCATTTTAGCTTGAAACTAAAAATAAATGGGTTTCTTGAGATAATTTCAAAGAGCGCAAACAAGCTTAATAAGAAACATTTAAAATATTTAAATTTTAAGAAGCGGTCTTTAAACGTGTTATATGAAAGATGGAAATAAAAACTTACATGCTTCCAAAATCAATTTTAGATAATATACAAGAATAAACATGCTATTTGTGTATCTATTATCTGGAGAGATGAGGAGTTACAATTTTTGAAGGGGGGAGTATTAAATGTAGATGGCCCTGTTAGAAGAAAAAGAGCTTCACTAAATGAAAAAGAGTCCCTAGAATGGTTCATTGCAGATCATACAGCTGTGGTTCTGTAAGTACCAAATTCTGGCACTTTTCAGAATAATTTCATGGGCTCTTTCTTTTGAGCTTAACTTCCAAAATATATTTTAGTTTCAAATTAACATTGGGCCAGAACCTGTTTCCTTGGTAACCAAATCTTGTTTAAAAATGCAATAACAGATATGCAAAAGATTGTCTTAAAAAAAGAAACAAATGGTTAATGAAAATTGTACAGTTCTTTTTCCTCTCATATAGAGTCTGGACTGGTTTTAGACGTTTTTAAATGCGGTCTTCAAACCTTAAAAATTAAGCCATATTTCTACACTTATAGAGAAAGCTTGCACAGGGAGAGCTTTTTTCTTCCTCCTTTGTGCTCAGTACTTTCAAAATTAAGGTTTTCTTTGTAACATGCCCCAGAATGCTGGTCAAGGTTTGTGTACAGAGGTGTAGTTTCATTATCACTGGTTCACCAGCGCCCCTGAAACAAAAGGCATCTCAGAAATTCTGAGAATCAGAAAACGCTTGTGCTCTTGTTTTCCCTGATCCCTCCATTGGTAACCTCAGAGCTCTCGGTAGAGAAGGACCCAAACCCAAGCCCACCCCCCCAATGAGAAGTGCACATGGAGCCTTTGTGGGAATGTCTTTGTAGATGTGTTCGGAGGAAGATACTGGCAAACTTGAAACCTCTATGAGGTTTGCTCCGATGTGAAGAACATCGAGACTCAGAACCATCTGTGTAAATAGCTGCTTTATTCTAGCAGTTGGTCTAATATTCCAAAGCACCGTGTGTAAAGTCAAACCTCTTCTGGACTAAAGGTTTGTTGCTGCTGTTGTTGTTGTGTTGTTTTGAGGCCAACTTGAATATTTTGCTTGGAGTCTTTCTCTGGCTCAATGATATTAGAACATGATTCATTCCATAGTGATTTCGTTCTTTGGGCTTGCCATGAAATATCCCTCCTGCAACACCTTTTCTTTTTTTGGGGGGAGGCTATTCGGGGGGCCATTTTTCTTCTTGTTTGTGACTAAAAATGACTAAGTACATTTAGAATGTAACATCAATCAGAAGATTGTAAACTGAAGGGGAATGTCGGAAACCTGATTCAGTCTTGCCTGTTTATTTCAGTACCAGTAGCATTAACAGTTGCAGGAGGATCAAGCTAATTGTCATTCACTCTTGAGCAAATAATGAGCCAGGCATTTGTGATTAAGACACTATTGCTATTCAGAAAGATTACAACTACAATGTCTTCTATTTTGATAGGCCAGCACAAATCAATCATTTTGAACCCATTTGAATCTTAATCACAAGATTAGATGGATGCAATGCGATTGTTTTACCACAAAAATGAATGCCCGATGGATTCAACAGTGTATTTCTTCTTTATAAAATGTTGATCCTTTTATTGTTAACTCAAGCATGGTTGCGTCATCTCATAGATTTTCATACCTAGTGATTTTTCTTTTTTTTGTGGCATTATTCATTTATGGTGCTCTTGGTCTTGCCTAAAAGAATTTTAAACACAATTCAAGGAGGTTGAAAGCCAAATTAGACCGTTGGGAAGTATATTGTACCATTGTCATTCTAATAAATAGACCAGTGAATGGAAGAATAATTATTACTTATTACTTTGTTGTGTTTCGCCTTAATGCTTTGCCTTCATATTTCACAGAAATATTTACAAGGCACAAGGCTTTTCTAAACGTACCCATTTACAATTATTATTGGATTTCCTAGTCTAGCCAAAAACACTTCCTGATGATCGCAGAGATGGCACCTACCCCTTCTCATTGTTTAAAAGGCTGTGCTTAACCCATTTACACTTTTTGGCTAAGGTGCTTATACTGGGCAGGCCAGAGCAGGTGCGACAGAAAGAATGTGCAAACAACTGCTTTGTTCTCACCAAAACAAAATGAGCAAATCTGTGGTTTTCTACCTGAATGATTTATAGTCTACAATTCTCAACTCTTTTTCTTTGGAGAATAGGAAATGTTTTTCTGAGCCTTAACTCAGTAAGAATACCAATATAGCATCTCTTGCCACTAGAGTTACATTGATCTACTTCATTCATTTCCGTGGATCCCCCATAGAGAGACTGGCAGCCAGACCCTGTTTTAGAGCTGGCTGGTAGGGGAAGAAGGATCAATAAAAAGATCTAGCTCCTCACTGGGTGTTATATGCAAACAATGAATCATGGAACACTACATCAAAAACTAATGATGTAATGTATGGTAATTAACATAACATAATAAAATAAAATAAAATAAAAGATCTAGCTCCTTTATCTTTAATACCAAACCCTGCTAAGCCTTTGAGTTCCTGGAACCATGTGGTTCATTCTAACAGCTCCCTTCCAGGGGAAACGCTGTTCTTAACAGCTTTGTTGGTAATTAAATATTTGACACATTTATTGAGCACCTACTATATGCCAGGCATATTCCAAAGGCTGGAAAATAGAGTAATGAGCAAGAGAGATCAGGGCCTGCTTCTTAGAGACCTGCCTCTAGTGGAGTGGAGTGGTGGGGATGGGGGAACTCAAAAATAAATTAAGGGAGACAAGTGCAAAGAAGAAAATTAAAATAAAAATTTAAAAGGCGAGAACGATATGTTGGGAGGAGGAAGGCCACTGTAGAATGGTTGGCCTTCCTGAGGAGGTGGCATTTAAAAGCGGAGACCTGCATGGTAAGATGGACCCAGCCAGGTGGAGGTCTGAGGGGATCATCACAAGGCAGAGGAGTGCGCGTGCTCAGACTGCAAACACCTCTCTTTGTGTAACTGCCGCTATAACAGAGCCAGGTCTGATGACTTGGCAGGTTAAGCCTTTCCTAGGTCAGCTTCCCCTGCAGTGAGAAGGGTGGGCCAGGCCCATGGCTGGTTTTGGTCAAATTCCCAGGACGCAGTGCCAATGATGTTACTGCCTTTGACCCAGTCCCACCCTGAAATCACCTAAGAAGGTGCAGTGGTGCTGATGAAATGCTGGCATAGATTTAGCGCTAACCCCAGAAATCCACAGGAGAAAGGATTCTCAGAGAGTTCTTTTTCGTAAGAACTCCATAAAGTAAATTCATGACAACACATTGAGATGATCATTTCCTTAATTTTTTTTCAAAAGCAAATGGTGGAAGGGCCTGTCCCATCTTGCCAATGAATTGTCTGTGTCCTCTAACACCTAAAACTCTTCAGTTTTACAGATCTCTTTGCCTGACAGTGGCTTTCTAAAGACCTTACTACTTGGAGTGGTATTTCTCTATTTGAGCAAATAATACCAAAGAAATTCTTTTTAAGAACCAGATCTCTTTTATGCCTTTTAGGTTAGTCTGCTGATAAAGCTCTGAGAACAAAGGGATAGGTTTGCTGTATAAGTTAGAGACTATAAGACCCTTGGGGCGTCTGGGTGGTGTAGTCAGTTAAGTGTCCAACTTAGATTCCACTCAGGTCGTGA